TAATGTACATTTGTAAGCAACGATAAGTCATTGCTAACGAAAAAAATAATTCTGAGCGTAGTTCAGTTGATAGTGATGACTTGTCAACAATATTTATATATGTTATATTATAATAAAATAATTAAATAGGCTTCATATATTTTATTCAATACTATTTGTTATGTTGTACAGATTTTCCCATTTTTCCTACGTTTTTCCGGTGTTTCACATTTAACGAGAAAACTCCTAAGGAAAACAAAAAAACTATCTCTGTAAAAATCCTTCAGGTCAGATTTCCTTTTTGAAAAATTGCTATCATAACAAATAGGAGCAAAATCGCTGGTAGGAAAGTTGTCCATTAAAAAAAACCGTATTATTTTATATCTAATATATTTCGTACTTTTCCCCGTTTTTTTTACGGTTTTTACATTTGATGGGAAAACTCCTGAGAAAATCGAAAAACGGCATTTTTAAAGTACCTCCCCACAAAAATTTTTTTTCAAAAGAACTTTTACACTTAAAAATCGGAGCAAGATTTTTGGTAGAAAAGTTGCATTTAAATAAAAATAAACATTTTTGTAAAACTATATGATCTACTTCGCTCCACTCAGAATCTAAAACAAATTAAATATGAAATTTCAAAATGATTTTTGTTTTGCTTATTTTGATAGTTTAAAAAAAAAAAAAAAAAAACAGAACATTTTTAAATGTCTTGTATGTATTTAATTTAAGGTTATAATGCGAGTTTTAAGTACTAGTCCTTTAAGTTCCAAATCCTGCTTATAAATTATAATATATAATCATTTCTATTCCGAATTTCGGATTGAATAAGCTGTAACTGCGTGCTCCTTTAATTAGACAGGTAAGTAATACACAATACATAAGTAAATATTAACGAACTAATAACCATACGAGTATTAGACAATCGACATTGTATACCTCACAAACCTTACAAAGGCATGTTTAGTTTGTTAATTTACCACGGTTCTGCAAGATCATTATATTCCGACTAAATATGTAAAAACCGCCCGAAATATAAGTAATAATAACAATCAAGGATATGAGAATTAATAAGTAAACAATTAATCATAAGTAAGTTAAAAACGAATTTAATATTAATTTGTCTCTAAGATTTCAATATCTCTGATTTTGTTCACATTGACCTAAACAATTTAACGAGATAATTTTTATTTGTATCACGTCTACATTAATTTAATTTTTTTTTTTAATGTGAACAATTTCAATCAATACACTGTTTAAACAGGTACCATAGTATTATAACCAATACACAATATACATTTTTTTAACTTAATAATTATGTGCGAATCTCGAGTTTAAAATATTATTTATGTGATATTCTCTAAATTCACACTCTTGTTACACGAAGAAAAATACGTAACTTCGAGTTGAAAAGTTTGTTAAATCTTTTAATTAACTTTCAACTTAATTTTGTTGATGAACGGAACAATCAACGTTTAACGTGTTAGCTAGAGTTAAGGCTCGTAAATTTTGTGTTTTCAATTAGCTTAACTGAATTATTATTAATTATTTTCTAGCCTTGATAATAATATAAACTGAAACTTGCAACACGCTGTCCATATATAATCACGACCTATTTTTTTTTTTTTTTTTATGAGTTGTGTACATTTAAGAAATTAATTATACAATTAATAAAACGGAATGCAAATTTAAGTTTATTTATAAGATTGCGCGGAAGATATAAGTTCACGATTTTAACGTAGGTATTCAATAAATTATTAACTTTTTTAATTTATACCGTATATACCGACGAGTTTTATAATTAAACTTTTAGGTTATTAAAAGAAAAAAACAAACGAGAGAAGTTTTGTTTTTTTGGAAATTTAATATATTTTTGTTTTCCATTACTGTGCGTAGGTGTATACTTGACCATAATTATTTTATGATGTTCTTACTTACCTATATACAAAATTGGATCATACACTTCGGATTGAACAGTATTAAAAATTAATAAAAAAGAACACCGTGAATAATACAATAATGATACAATTTTCGTTCCTTAGCTCGAACACGACGCGTGACTAGATATTTCTATGTACTTAACAATATATTATCATATGCATTGAAACATTTTATCGCTATCGTAATAATTATCTAGACGAAAATTAAAGATGCTAAACAATTTAATTATTTAGTTAAAGATTCTACATGTATCGTTTTTAAATCGGAAATACGTGTACATATGTTCAAAAAAAAAAAAAAATAATAATAAATTAGATTTATTCCACACAATATTTTACTCAATCGGTGCATGTAAATGTAATCGAGAATATTATTGTATCTTCGGCGTTGGTGCAGTTTTGCTTTTTGTTTTTCAGAACTACAACATTCAGACTCAACAAATTTACAATCAATATTTGAAGGTAGTCACTACACAAACCTTTGTGCGCTATTCTGTTTCCCCGTCATCCCGTATTCGAATTAAATGTTTAAAACTCGTTTAGCGGGTATATAACATTTCCATCAAACTTTTCGATATTCGAACTATCCGTGCAATTCGAAAATTGTTCTAAAATGTTTGATACACCTTCGGAATGTATATTTTACTGAGTAGTTATATCCGGTTATATATATCCGGTAATATTACATTTGTAGAGTATGGTGTATAAAATATACTATTGGATACGTAACATTCAAATCATTTGAAAATTTGTTCGTTTTTTTTTGTGACGTACACATTTTCAAACTCACGAATTTGTAATGATAAATATTATATAATTTTATTTAATTTTTGCTCTTATCGAATTTTTCAGGAAAACTGACACTATTGCATAGGTTTTGGTCTGTTATTTATAAATATGTAGATTTTTCTGATAAATTTGAATACTTTTAGCGGCTCTCGCTGAACCAAAAGAGCTCAAACTCGGGAATTCGATTTTATTTTTTTAATAGGTGGATTGAATTGATACAATTATAATTATAATAGTTTCAATATAAACATTGTCATTTTGATGTGAATCATTAGTTTGTATACGCATGGTGTAGCTATCAATTATATGCTTTTAGATTCCAAACTTCAACCTCACAATCTGTTCGTAAATGTTAGCAAAAACCTTGAAACCCGCTTACCTGTTTTAATAAAACTTTATTAGTTAAATTCCTTATCATCGTAGAAAAAAAAAAGACGTGAACTCTTCCCTGATTTGTTATCATACAAATATTTCATGAATTTTATATTTAATTCAATGTACAATTTTTGAAAAAGATTTTATTATTTGCGTTTAATAATCTATTCGATTAATTAGCATGGTGTAATACTTATAAGATATATGAATATCCTTACAACCTTTTTATTTTTTATTTTAAAACACCTAAATATCGAGTTTATAAATCAAGTCGTCCCGTACTGACAATTACTTAGAAATGTATGCACAAGTGTTCTCTTGTTTAATATAATATCGCGGGTTCGGTGTATTCGAGAGTGCGATCTAAAGACGTTTGAGTGTCTTCTCGAGAAAATTCTCGGTTCATTGATCGACTAACAAAATTTACCTGACGAGGTTTTCATTTTTTTCCCGTTTTATTCTTTTGTTCCGTTCCCGTGTTGCAATAGTCGGAATAAGAATAAGAGGAAAAAATAACACTACACAGCCACTTTATAACCCACTTTATTTTTGACTAGAACGAAAAAAAAAATGTAAAAAAAAAAGAATATCTCTTAAAAGTTCGACAATAACAGTTTTTTAGAAATTACAATTAAATATAGTGACATTTCTCATTAATACTGACGTTTTTCTCTGTACCTTTAACCCCCCCCCCTTCTCACTCATTATTTATATGCTGTTCTCGAAATTAGATTTGCCGCAGTTGTCTGTTATTTTTTTTTTTTTCAATTCTGTTATTTTCGAGACGTTTAATCATCGTCGTCTACATCTGCACGTCATGACGTTAATAATAATTCGTTGCCACCGAATAAAAACGAAAATTCGTTCATCCAAACGAACTATACAACTGCCGAACTGCAACATTAATATTATAATACAGAACATCTCTCGAATTTCGAAAAATCACTTACTTAAACATTTTACGATTATATAATTACAATAGTCAATGTTGTGTATATTTTAGATAAGTATATTGGTATCTATGAACTTCTTCTAGATGAACGAGAAAAAATTTATTTCCGCCGTTATGAGAGATACGCAATCATCTTTTTTTTTTTTTTTTAGGTACTGAGGGTAACGAAGAATGGATTAGTTTTACTTAGATGTTTTATTATTATTTTTTATTATTTTATACCGTATACGAAAATTCTACCAGAAATATTGCTCAAATATATATACGCGGCACCATTTCTAAAAGGGAATGTTGTCCAGATGGTACTTCTAGGAGGTCTTTTTTTGATTTTTCAAGCGGGATTCATAATATTTGAGAAAAACAGGATAAACCGTATGAAAAACGGAAAATGTACAAACATAATGCTTTTATTATTTTTCAATTTTGATGTTTGTTGTAATTCAGTTAAGAATATTTGCAGAAATTTTAAATTTAGAAAGAAAACTTTGCCTTTTGTTGATGCGGTAAAATTTTCAAAAATTTAAACCGTTTTTGAGCTGTTTATAGATATTTTAATTTTGCGAGGTTTATACGTAATTTTTATTCAGTAGTTACTCTGTGGTAAAACTGTTAGACTTGAACAGAAATGCTTGAAAGTTTAACAGGGGGTTCCTTAAGAGACTTACTTTGTAGAAAAAAAAAAAAGAAAAAGAAAGAAAGTATTTGATGTAGTATTTTTTTTGATAAGGAAATATTAATATAAGAATTTGACGAAATAAATATATTTACTTTTTTAAATATAGGTATTTGAGTGGTTCATGGTTTATAAAAAAAAACAAAATATTTATAAAGAACAAAAGCATCTCAAATACATTGTAAAAACAGTTTATCGCTTCTCGTCTACAGGACAGTGTAAGTCGGTATTCGGCCGATGTATCGGGTGAAAATTTCGAAACATAACAGAAATCTTTTTCGCGTAAATTTCTTCTTTTTTCCGACGGCTTTTTCTCCGTTTGAAAGAAAACCAAAACAATTATGTGTAACCCCGACAAGTCAAAATCCACTACCATACCCCTGAATTCGATGATAGGAGTAAGATCCCTATAGTAGTAAAGTTGTCGACAGACGGTAAACTACGTAAACACATCACAGTCAGACCAATACGCTCAGAATTCTATTATCTATATACTATAAATTCGGTACGAAACAAATGCATAGCTGACGTAATTTTTCTTTTGGACAAACAGAAAAATTCGTAAAGCAAATGTTCACGACATGTCCGGACTCCGAAAAAATATATTATGAAATATTATTCGCGATAATATAAAAAATATTATAGTGGTGGCCCGCTGTCCTGTAACAGTTATTTGATCACAAATTAATGTAGATACTTATCATTTTTTTTTTTCTTTTTTTACAAGGTTCGCGTGCTCGTAGTTAATAAATTTAAATTCAAACCTAATGGTTTATGTGTTGCGACGGCCCGGCGATAATTCTTTTTTTACAAGGTTCGCGTGCTCGTAGTTAATAAATTTAAATTCAAACCTAATGGTTTATGTGTTGCGACGGCCCGGCGATAAGGGGTAAAAATAACCGCGAAAATTATACCACCGAGCTAGGAATACTATTCGAAATTACTTCCCGTTTTATACACTGCGCGCGTTGCCTCTACAGCGCACAAGAAAATGAACTTTAATAGTATCAATTTTTTACACTACAGTTGCTGCACCCGTATAACACTTATATAAATATATACATACTTGTACCGTGAATAACCGTAACATTTTATGCTTATCGTCATCGTCGCGTACAAACTTTGAATCGTTCGCAATGTCAACTGTCCGCCGTTATTATATGCTGCACGTGCCGCGCATAATATAATTTTAGAAATTATATATTTAACTATTATTTTATAGAGAAAAATGTATAATTATTAATATTCGCCTGTTCCTGTGTAGAAGACAGTAGTTCGAGGTAATTTTCTATTGCGCACATACCGTTCCTCCTCCCGCAAAATAAATATTCACGTAATAGTTTAATTGCCTGACCCTAGATCACCCGTCGATTTACATGCTATTGTTAATTATTTGTTATAATTATTAATTGATTTTATTTCAAAAAAACATAAAGAACATATCATATTTGACAATTTGGAGCATTTTCAATAGTCAGACAAATGTTTTCCGAGAATAATATCAAATAATGAAACCAGGGGATTAACTGAAAAAAAAAAAAACGCTCCGAGTAAAACACCGTCATCTCGTGGCAATTAAAATGTGTACTCGGTGAAAAAATCGGAAAAAGCATTGAGGATTTCGAAAATATTTTCAAATAAAACTCCAATTAATAAAAATGTGAAAAATAGTCCACATAACGTATTATATTAAAACAGTGTTATACTAATCGTGAGAATCGTACATTACTACATTCAGTGGTATGTCCAGGATTTATCAATGGGAGGGGATGTAGTAAAAACATACGCGGTGAATAAATAGTAAAATCCGAAATGTAAAAAAAAAAAAAATTTCTAATCAATAAATCAATTTTTGTTTCGTAAATTGGCTGAAATACACGCATTCCAATGTTGAATTACACATATATTTTTGTATTTTAAAGCCGGTGGGGGGATATAATCCCTAATCCCCTCCCCTCTTCTGCGCACGCTACTGACTACATTGGCCGTTTATCACATTACATTCAAACTCGAGATATTCAAAATAATGTGTTTGAAAGACAGTTAATAATTTGTTAGTGTTGGGTTTTAATTTTATTTAAACGTTTTTACATGATTCGCATTATATATTCGTTATATAATATCAATGTTTAAGAATTACTGCACGGGACCGCACGCGAGATTCGGCCCCGATGTGCCCCAACGAGTAAACGATAGCGAAACGTGGTACAGCCACGAGTAGTGTGGGCGTCCGACAGAGAATATTACGCAACATACCTCGATATATGTTTGAACGGGTGAAACATTGCAAGTGTCCCGAAAGTCAACCAGAAATAAACGACGTGACGTAATAACAATCAAGCTGCTAAGAAATCTCGTTTATATTTCTTAATTGTCGTCCGAAGGGAGGCCACGGCGAAAACTCTCGTGCCTCGTAGAACGGTCCAATTATAACTTTTTCGCCGGAAAGAGAATGCCGCGTATTTTATACGTGTACAGCCCTCCGTTTTACAATATTTTCGTCTCAAATTTTATAATAATGCGTCGAGTCTTTAGAAACGAGTCGACTCTTAGGCTGGCTTCTCTTTGTCGAATTTTTCCTTACAATTGTTTGAAATAACATGACGGGGTAGAATGAAAATCAGCCTAAGCCCAATCACCTATTATCGGGCGATTAAAGGCTCGCGGTCTGTCGCGGCTGTCAGCGATCCGGTGACGCCGCCTACCATGCGTTTGTTTCATGAGCGGTCTAGTGTAAACACTATGTTTCTCACAGTTGTTACGGTTGTGAAATATCCAACTTTGGTTGTTGTCGTATAGTTACAAATGCATATTGTTTTTCGTCGTTTTGAGATTACACTGTTTATTATTGATTCAATATGTCAAGTTCCGATGAAGAGCAACTTGTTTTTTTGCTTGCGCTTCCAAATAAAAGAAAAAAAAAACGATTGTTTACTAAATTTTTATAATCTCGACGTAACGTAATGAACGAGAACAAATATTTTCGTAACCTGTTCCGTTTTTTCCACCATATTATAAATATACTATAACCGTTTAAAAAAAATTTAAAAACAGACCGCCAGAGAACACACATTTTCCGACTTGTTCCATAAACATCTCAGTTTCTACCATATTAAAAATTTAATATAATTTATTTAAAAATAGATCGCTAGCTCCCCGCGGGGAATTCTGTAATTTTGTATAACTTATATGGCCTGTCGACATGATCTAACCTGTCTCGCCGCGACAGACCGTCTTCTGTGAGTCCGAGCCTTTATTCGGATATAGGATCGTTCATTTTGTTTTTTTTTTTTTTTTTATTACATCCTTCTCATATCTCCCCACTCCGATTTTCTTTCAGAAATGGTGCTACACTTAAAAATCGGAGCAAGTCTTCCGGTAGAAATGTTGCCGCACAGGTAAAAAAAAAAAAAGATATATCTTTCTGAAACTATAAGCTTCTTCGCTCCGTTTAGAATCTAATAAATCCAACCGCCCGTAATTGGCTCAATCGTGAAAACACGCTTGGTGGTATTTTTCGCAATTTTCGAAATTAATGGTATGAAGGTGATTTTAAACATTTTTTTTTAAAAATTTTTTTTTTTTTTTGCGAAACTCGCGAAATTACACATCGCAGTCGTATTCGCGCGTACGATAATATTACCCCGCATATATACGCGTACTGAAAAAAAAAAAAAAAAAAAAAAAAGGAAGAGAGAGGAGAAAATACTATAACAATAATAACAATATTATTACACGCTAAACAATAATAATTTAAATTCTATCTCCGTCCCCTTGCCCTCCCCAATGAGCGACAATGCGGAGTACATCGTAAGCCGCGGGTTATATATTATAATTAAATCGCATCTATATGGAACGGCAGCGCACACTGGCGAAGTTTTTTTTTTTATTTTTTTTTTTTTTTCGAATTCTTGCGGTCGAACAGCCGGTTTTACCGCGAACGTGTGGAGAGGCGAAGATACCCGGGATAACCCGGCGGAGAGCGGAGCCGATGCAGGTGAACATATTATTATTATTTTCATAATAGTAAAGGCGGCGGCCAGTATGTGTGCGTTTCGCGCGGAGATGGTTTTTTTTCCCCCGGCCGATGCAGTTATACTCGGGGAGTTTTTATTATTATTATTATTTTATTTTTTTTTTTTTACGCCGATGCAAATTACCGGACCATGAAACGTAGATAATGAAAAAAAAAAAAAAAAAAAAAAAAAAAAAAATGAAAAAATATGCAAAAAACCTATCCGCGTAATATAATATTTATAAATTATTTTATTATTATTATTATGTACGACCACCGCGAAATGCAAAAGTATTATAATACGCATACAATACGCGATTCGGTTAATTAGCGTGCGTCTACCGGTTTTGTTTTTTTTTTTCACTGCGGGGCTCGTTTTTTTTTTTCAACCGCCAGTCGGATAACGATTACGAGTTTTTCGATAAAGTAATTTTCATTTTCCAGTGATGGGGGTGGGGGGTGGTGGTGGTAATTCGTAGCTGCGGTCGAATTAACGAATAAAATATAAAAATATACACTAGGGTTGCGAATTTAATGCATTAAAAAATCTTAAAAATCCAGACAATAAAATATGCATTTACATCCCAAAAAATTAAATTTAAAATGCACCTTAAATGGTTTTTAATTTAATTTTTATACTTATTTTGATATTACTGATATCAGTATATTATATACATGCAAATTTATTATTATTATTTATTATTCTGAACGCTGAACAGGTACTAAACGACAATTCCGGATAGTTCGCAGATGTCAGGTACCTACTAAAATTATTAATCGACCAACATAATCTGGAAATTCGTGACAAATAGAATGATATTTCACAAGCACACAAATAACTAATCTAGCAATATTGCCTGAATTTAACGAATCCTTATCTTTACCTACCCCGTATACGGCTTGTGTAAAACAACAAATATGAGTGTAAATATGTTAATTGCTTGAATTCGATTAAAAATACCGCAAAATGAACTTAAAACAAAAAATGACTTTTTAAGTCCAAACAATGACCTTAAATATCAAAAACGTCAACAGTTTCAAAATAAAAGTTTCATAAATGAATGTGTTTTAAATAATACAAATCATGTACTTAGCCAATAAAATGCAATTTCCTACATAAGTCATAGTACTATTTATTATAGTAATAATTTGTACAAGTACTACTTATACTATGTATATTTCCCACCAGTAGCACCAAAAACCCACAAATTAATAAAATATTTGGTTAGGCGGTTGCCCGATGTATACCCCAAGTTCTGCGCCACTGGGATGAACGGAAACTTTGAATTCAGGCAAAACAGGTACCGCCCTTTAAACAAGTATAAGGTATAACCAAACTTCGCTCTAAACTGTTCTTCTTTATCAACGACTTAACTTTGCATATGGATATGAATTAAATAACTCTGTGTCATCTCAAAAATGGCCTACTCGTACTGGCACTGCCAGTATCGTCTTTTTTATTTTTTTTTTATTTTAGGTGACTGTATGATGAAATTCGGATAATTAGGTAAAACATATTTATTTTTTTTTTTTACACTTTTAGACTGCCCAACGAGAGTAAGAACTGTTCAAGTTT